AGTTTGCCACATTGTCCCTTTTAAGCTTAAAATGTGTATGCTCAGATATTAAAGGTGTTTTTGTGCCCCTTTAAATTTGTTAGGAACCGATAACGTATTAGAAATGTAAACAATAGTGTATAATAGGAGTATGTGAATGTTTTCCAAATGATTGCAAGCTGTTGCTATTCTTGATAAGGAAGTAATCAGCAGTTTTATTATGCTCTAGGTTGCACCTTTATTGCAGTCACTTACACAGCTGGGTGGGTGGTCTTCTTCACGTTGTTTTAATACTCGCTCAAAGTGGATGTGAGGCTTTTCATAGAGAATAGAGTTGTGCAAGGCATAAAAATTTGGTTCAGCTGAATCAAAAATTCCTAAAACATATTTTGGCTTGGTCAAAACCGAATTTGTCCATGTGGCATTTTGGTTCAGATGAATTTCACCCATGTAATCATTTTGGAGAAAATTATTCTAACAATCTAAAATGGCATAAAAATTTTCCCGTTAGTGTACTACAATAATAAAAAAAAATGTTGTCTGCATTATAAATAATTATATGTACATATGAGGCTGGAATGTCCCTTTAAATAAATCTAGTGAGATTTTTGTTTCAGATGTGGGGGACCTTTCTAGAGTACTGACATGAATCTGTACTTGACATAATACTGTTTTTGGGGGGGGGGAGTTTCTTAGTTGTTTTACAATGAGTAACTCTTCTTTCTTCTACTGGGTAATACATAAGCACAGCCATGTTCATTTTTCTTTACATTATCCATAGATACTTGTTTAAACTTATGTAAAGCCTCTGGTTATTTTAAAATGATTTATTTAAGTCACCACTGGCATGTTAACATTCATAGTCTTTTTAATATTTAGTTTCTAAAGGGCATGGTCAGACCATGTTAAGTAACTTTTCCATACAAGGTAAATGCTTTATAATACTCTTTTGTATTTGGAAAACCAATTTATTCCTGAAAATATCTCATATTTATGAGAATTAAGCTTGTAACTTTACAGAATGTAGAAACAGCCATACAGTTCTGTTTCTTAACGACAATTTATTAAGCCATTTTACTTTATTTATGCATTACATTTTTCAACGAGAACACTTTAGCTGTCATAAACCTTATAGAAAGTGGTCTTTCATGCAATACATTATATAATATTAAATGCTTTAAATGCCCAAGGCTCATAGGCTACATTGCACAAGATAGTGAAGATTGTTTGACATGTTTGCTGAAATTACATACATAATGGCTATAAGGGATATTCATATATAAAATTACATGAAACTGTGTAGTCAAGCTACTGTATTGTGAAATTAAGTCCTTTATGTTGTTTACCATTTTTGGTTTAACTATTATCTACTAAAATGAAATCAACAAATAAAGACTAAGATCAAGAATCTTGAACAACACTCTAATTCAGGTTTGTGGGGGGACTACATAAATCAAATAAAAATATGTTCAACTTGTTTTCAGAGTCTGTTTGTTATTTTTTCTATAGTTGGAATCTCAGCTTCAATTACTAATACACCCTGTTCCAAATTATTATGCAAATTCTATTTAAGTGTCACAAAGATTAAATATTTTGTTTTTCAGTTTAACTCATGGATGGCATTGTGTCTCAGGGCTCTTTTGATCACTGAAAACAATCTCGGAAACCTGTGATAATTAGATTGCCAGATGAGCCTAATTTAAGGAAAAACTACTAAAGGAGGGTGTTCCACATTTTTAAGCAAAGCACCATTTTCATGCAATATGGGGAAGAAAAAGGATCTCTCTGCTGCTGAAAAGAGTGAAATAATTAAATGCCTTGAATGAGGTATGAAAAAATTAGATATTTCATGAAAACTTAAGCGTGATCATCGCACTATTAAGAGATTTGTGGCTGATTCAGAGCACAGACGGGTTTGTGGAGATAAAGGCACATTGAGGAAGATTTCTGCCAGATCCATGCATTGGATCAAGAGAGCAGCTGCTAAAATACCATTACATAGCAGCAAACAGATATTTGAAGCTGCTGGTGCCTCTGGAGTCCCACGGACATCAAGGTGTAGAGTCCTCCAGAGTCTTGCAACTGTGCATAAACCTTCTATCCGGCCACCACTAACCAATGCTCACAAGCAGAAACAGCTTAATTGGGCTGAAAAATACATGAAGACTAATTTTCAAACAGTCCTGTTCACTGTGAAGAGAGCTGGTCGGCCCCTTTAGGGTGCCCAAAGGTGTAAAGATGACCTCTGCAAAGTATGTGGAGTTTCTGACTGACCACTTTTTTCCCTGGTACAGAAGGAAGAACTATGCTTTCCATAATAAAATCATCTTCATGCATGACAATGTACCATCTCATGCTGCAAAGAATACCTCTGCATCAATGGCTGCTATGGGGATAAAAGGAGAGAAAGTCATGGTGTGGCCCCCATCCTCCCGTGACCTCAATCCTATTGAGAAGCTTTGGAGCATCCTCAAGCAAAAGATCTATGAGGGAGGGAGGCAGTTTACATCCGAACAGCAACTCTGGGAGGTTATTCTGATATCTTGCAAACAAATTCAAGCAGAAACTGTCCAAAAACTCACAAGTTCAATGGATGCAAGACTTGTGAAGCTGCTATCCAATAAGGGGTCCTATGTTAAAATGTAACGTGACCAGTTAAAATGTTTAAAAAGTTAAAATGTTGTTATAAGTTTGATTGAAATAGCTTTTGTAAATATGCGGCAAACACAAAAAAATGACAATTTTCAGTTCTTTACAACCTATAAAGTGTTTTGAAATTGACTGTGCGTAATAATTTGGAACAGTGCATTGTAAGTTTTTTATGTTTAAAAAAAATACTGTTATCATTAGGAGGTTTGTTCAATAAAATTTGAATTGTACTCTTAATAGCTGATAACATGATAATTATGCTGACTGTTATTTACATCAATTATTTAGGTAAATGAGAAAAATATAATTTGCATAATAATTTGGAACAGGATGTAGAATAACTTATATAGCACTAACATCGCTGTTGAATAGGCAAACAAAACAAACCCTTAATTCTAACAAAGCATAACTGACATACTGGGACAGTATGTGAAGAGAGCCCTGCCCAAAAGAGCTTACAATCTAAAAGGATGAGGGAGAAATAAACAAAGGGCGTTAAGTGATCCACATGTACCTGTTAGGGTGTTTAGAAGGAAAAAGCAGAGAAGTTGGGAAAAAGCAGAAGGATAAAACAGGGGATGAGGAGTTAAGGGGAGAGCTGGTAGGCTTCTTTAATGTAATGTGTTTTACAGATTTTTAAAGGTCTGTAGAGTTCCCAAGTCATTATTTGCAAATAACAGTCATTTAGGTTAGGTAATTCAATCTATAGTAAATATTATTATCTGCATTAGGAGATAACCAGGAAAGCAGCGGGAGAGATTCAGTAATGCATTTTGGTATGTAGAATTTATGAAAATAAGCATTTACATTCTATACTAAATGGGACTGAGTTAGGCCTATCATTAAATGAAAAGTATTTGGGAGTAAAAGCAGGCAGGATATTGGGCAGGGGCTGAAAAGGCACATAAAGTACAGTATATGCGGAAATGATTACTAATTTAAATTATCAATAAAAATATTGACTTTTTATGACTTGATGAGACTTAAGGTTCATTATACTATTATACAGTATAGTTTAGGGAATTCATTTTCAAAAAAATTATTATGGACCTGGAAAAAGTATGGCAAAAAAAAAAAGAGAAGAAGACGAAATGAAAACATGATGAACAAAGATATACACTTTGGATTTCTTCATACTAAAATAAATGTGCCTCAGAGAGAATGTTATAACATTATACAAAAAATACAGGATTTATACAAAGAATTCCATGGTTTACCACTAAGGGTAAATATATGTTAGCAAAGGTAGATTTCATGGAATTTTCAATTTACACGTTGCGTGTAGAGTCCGTGATGAATAGGTTTGCACAATTAAAATTTTTGTATTCTTGTTTAAATTTATCACTGCAATTTCATGATAGATAGATCATTGTAAGCAGACCAAGGGGTAAGCTGAGGGAGGTGGGGGGTTGGGGGTTTTGGGGTATAGTTCACCCAGGAATATAACCATTAAAGTCAGAATTACTCTCTAAAGTTCATGTGTGTCCTTTACAGTCTATAACCCAACTAGCTTTCTAACTGCATGCATTGCTGTAATGTAAAACCACCCTATTGTTCTGACAAAACACTGTTTAGTTATATTCATCTGTTTTCTACCCTGTAACATACTCCCAGCCTGTTACATATATTCAACCTGTCACATACCCCCATAAGCCACATACAGCAACCATATATTCACCCTGTCACATATCCCCATATGCAGGGCCACACTGGGAAAAAGATTAGGCCCGGGCATTTTTCAATCAGAGCGGCCCCCTAAGTAGGGGGCGAGGCTAGAGACAAGCACGCCCCCTCTCAAAGTGAGTGTGTTGGTTCAATGCGCAGAGCCCTGCTGAAGAGCTCTAGAATTAGAAAAAGGCCCTGTATTTGTTCTGCACAGCGCAAGCAAATTTAATAACATGCTTGCGCTGTGTTTGCTTTTAAATTGTCTCTGGTGTCTCCACAAGTGGGATACCAGAGGACAAAAGGGCCAAGAAAGCGTATGGTGCATGTGTTTGGAGCCTGCTTGTGGGATTGTGTGTGTGTAGAGTGTGGTGTGGTATTGTGTAAATAGGTCAATTTCATTTGTGTTTGTGGTGTAATATGTGTGGCTAGGGGCAGTGTGTGTGTAGGAGCAGGGCCGGTGCAAGGATTTTTGCCGCCCTAGGCAAAAAAAAAATTGCCGCCCCCCCATATGTCCTGCCCACCATGTGACATCACAATGCTCCGCCCATATGCTCTGCCATATGGGCCAACACCAGTCTTCACAAAGTGTCTTTTATCTGAAAAGACAGAGTGTTTACATTAAAAAGCCTACAGGCACAGGCTATAGACACCAGAACCACTACATTAAGCTGTAGTGCTTCTGGTGACTATAGAATCCATTTAATGTGAGGTAAATTAGAGATTAGTGCCACTAATAATATATTGGATTGCCTACTTACCACCAGATGAGGACAAGAGGCTGATGATGGGCTCAGTCTGGCTCCACAGGTTTGGTGTAGAACAGGAAGCAGCGCCATTTTGGGGGCCCCTTACACAGCTCAAGGTCTGGGCCCCCAGGGCTTGACCGTGAGTATGCCTTCAATGCCCACCCATAAATCCACCTACATGGCCCACCCATGAGTTCTCGCACAGGTAGTGGAGTGTATGTGTGTAGGGGATGTTTTATGTGTTATTGTAGAGGATGCAATGTGTGTCTGTTCTTATAGAATGTAGTGTATAGGAATACCAATTTGTGTAAGGGATGTAGTGTGTGTATAGTGGATGCAGTGTGTGTTTGCGTGTAAGGAATGCATTGTATGTTTCTGTGTGTGTGTGTGTGTGTGTGTGTGTGTAAGGGATGCAAGGTGTGTTTCTGTGTATGTAATTGAAAGCAGTGTGTGTCTGTAAGGGGTGCATTGAGTGTGTAAGAGATGCATTTTGTTTCTGTGTGTAAGAGAATAAGTGTTTGTGTGAGCGTAAGGGATGCATTGTGTGTTTCGGGTGTGTCTGTGTGTGAGTAAGGATGCATTGTATGTTTCTGTGTGTGTGTGTGTGTGGGGATGAATTGTGTATGTGTGTAGTGTAAAAGAGAGGGTTTTGTGGGGTAGGATAGGGACTGAGAGGGGAGCAGCTCTTTATTTTGTTAAAAAAATTCATAGTGCTCACCCCTCCTGTCAATTAGTGTTCTCCCTTTCTGTCCCTTAGTGCTCTCCCTTGGCCCCCTGTCCCTCTGCAGTCCCCCCTTGGTGGTCTTCTCACTCCCCCCTCTCCCTCTTAGTGGTCCTCCCTCCCCCCCTTTGGTGGTCCTTCCCCTCTCCCCCGCCCTTAGTGGTCCCCTCTGGCAAACCCCCTCCTCCCTCAGAGGTCCTTACTCCTCCCCCTCCTCCCTCACTGGTCCTTAGTGTCCCCCCTCCTCCCCAGTGATCCTTAGTGTCCCCTCCCCCTCCTCCCCCAGTGGTCCTTAGTGTCCCTTCCCCCTCCTCCCCCAGTGGTCCTTAGTGTCAGGGCCGGCGCTACCTGTAAGGCGGACTAGGCAGCCGCCTAGGGCGCCCCTTGGGAGGGGGCGCCGCCAGGAGCGCCGGCCCCCCTAATGCTGCAGCCGCCCGAGCGCTCTGTAAAGAGCCTCAGGCGGCTGCAGCTTTGCCCGGGCGGTGCTTCCATGAGGGCGGACCGCACCGCCCGGGCGCAGCATGGGGAGAGGCTGACAGGAGGGAAGCGCTCAGCGCTCCCACCTGTCAGCTCCCTCTCTGTACCGTGGCCGAGCCCTCTATGGCATGGTCCGACCGGTACAGGGAGCAGCTGTCTCCTGTACCCGGCCGGACTAACAGGAAGTGAACACTGAGTGTTCACTTCCTTTTAGTCCGGCCGGGTACAGGAAACAAAAGCAACCTGTACCCGCTGACCAATAGAGGGCTCGGCCACGGTACAATAGAGGTAGGGAGGGTGGGGG